TCCTCTAACCACAGCAGAGACCAGCCTTGTCAGTATTATCAGTGACAGAGTAAAACTATCATTATTTTTATAGATCAAATGTCAGTCCCTCCTAATCTTTATGTTGACTGACCTTGACGTAAAACTTAGAGTTTCAGCTTCCTTGAGTCCCCAAGGTTACCCCTGGCTTCAGCAGAACACTGGTCTGAGATCTGATCTGCCGCTCGAATCCTAAAACAGGCTTCATGTGATCAGGTTCAACTTCAGCATGAATAAAAACTGGTTTTAAATTCAGGGTTATGTGTGTTTAGAGCTTAGAGGACAATCTGTTTTCCGGTTATTAAAATAATCCCATCTTCTTGTTTCATCTCTCCTTTTGACTCATCTAATCGAGTTTGACTGGTGCAGCCTTCAGTGACGCACCACAGATCCCTGTCTTACATTTGTACCAGCGGTCTTACATTAACATGCACGTCCACCTGTGCCACGCGTGTCTCTCCTACATACAGAACGCTTGCTCCTTCACCCTTCACCCTTTGTCATGTTGACAGAAAACTCCACAGATAATGAAATCCAGCTTGCGGACGGACGTTTCTGGATGGGGTGAGCGTTGAGACCTGCAAAACTGTAGATCAGACCTATCACAAGCATCACTCCCTAGAAGATAAATGTTTCTGAAATAATGGCCCCTTTGATAGAAGTGTACACTCTTTAGTGTGCAGCCTTATCCCTAGCTGTCAGTTGGCACCATGCACCCTGCTTGTCCACACCCTGTCACAGCCCCTCGTCGTCAGCCTTCACCTCTGAGGACGAGGACTCTTGACCCTAAGGCTGCTGGGATTTAATTGTTGAAGTCCACTTCAGCCTCCTAAAGCCAGCCCACATTCACTCTGGGCCCCCGCTGACAGAAACTTCCTCTCATCTCTGCTGCTCCCCGCTTGTGTTTTCTGTTCCTCCTTGTCTTTAAAAGAAGGGGGAGATGGATAACAACTGAGCTGGAGGAGAGCGGAAATGTGATTATTTCTTTACGGAGCACCGAGAGTACACCTCACTAAGTGTTGCACAAGTAAAGTTTTCTCCCCGTTTCTGCTCACTGAGTCTTTCCACACACTCATCAGCCAACACATTTTATTCTATAATCCCAAACTCGTACACTGCTATAGAACAGGGTATCTGCAGGTTTAAGGGAACCTAATTTAAGACTTTTTAAGACCTTTTTTAAGGCCACTTTGACCAAATTTAAGCTATTTAAGTAGGGCAGCAGTAGCTCAACAGGTTGAGCGGGTTGTCCAGTAATCGGAAGGTTGCAGGTTCAATCCCGGCTCCGGACAGATGTTGTGTCCTTGGGCAAGACACTTAACCCACCTTGCCTGCTGGTGGTGGTCGGAGGGACCGGCGGCACCTGTGCTCGGAAGCCTCGACTCTGGCAGTGCGCCCCAGGGCTGTGTCTGAATGTGTGTGTGAATGGATCAATGATACACTGTAGTGTAAAGCACTTTGGGGTCTTTACTCTGAGAGGCACTATACAAGTACAGGTCATTTATCATTTAGAAAAATTAAATTTAAGGTATAATTTCCAGCTATTGCATGGAACCGGTGCTAACCACGCCGCGATCGTGGGATTAGACATCCAGTTACCATTAAACTTCCACTTCCCCATGGTGCAAACTCCCACTAGCTTAACCAGCTAACGTGCTCATCTAAAAATAGCCCCCTTACACAACCAACTGAATGTGTACGGTTCCGCTTATGCCAATATCATAAACAAAAAATGCTGAACACTAGAAATTCACGAAAATTTTATAGAAATAAAAGAATCTTGTTTATTGGGTCTTTGGTCATTTAAGACCTCTGGAAACTGTATTTAAGGATTATTTGTCATTTTTAAGGATTTTTAAGGCCTTAAATTTGGAAAAGCTAATTTAAGACTTTTTAAGGACCCGCGGATACCCTGTAGAAGATTTCAGTTTCCATCCAGCGTTTCTGTGTTTTCATAAATAAGTAAAAAGCTTCCGGTAAATGTGGAAATGCCAACGAGAGCCAAGCTCACTTTTTCAACTTCAGCTGCTGCCTGTCTCAGGAATTGCTTCAAGTGCACGGGGGAGAGAAAAGGAAATTACATCTGGAGACAGGGGGAGGCGGGCGAGATGGGTTGGGGGGAGGGCTGGATTACAAGTCTTGTCTTTCCATCTCTGTCTGCTCTGCACCTCCACTCAGAGCCATCAGTCACCACCGCATTACAACCTGGATCCACACAAGAACGATGCACCCAGCTGCACCTTATCTCAGCCGCTGATCAGCACAAGTCGGTTGCAACCAAAGAAAGAAAAAAAAACACAGTAGAATCCAACCTTTCAAGTTCCAGGTTTTATCTGCCATCTCCCAGAGTTCATTGGCTGAGTCCCTCCTCATCCACCTCCACCAGAGTTTCTCTTCTGCTGGGTTATCAGATGCGCCTGGCTCAGTTTGGAATGAGAAACACTAAAATAAACACTCGACCCCCGGGAAGCTATGGCAGAAATACCACAATAAGTTTCTTTGATAAATAGTCTCGGTTTTATCTCCAGAGCTCACTGAGAGCTGCATGTTGTTGCATTTTCTGGCCCCTTTACCCGACTCTGGCACGAAAACGCTGATCTGAAGTCTGAAACGTCTTCATACCACACTAATCCTGAAGTTGTCCGCAGCGGTTCTGCTGTCCTCTTTCTAGCTGCTGTTTTTTCCTCACTATCCCCTTAAACTCTGGTTTACCTTCACAAAGTCCTTTACTGTCTGAAGATCTTCAGTGGGTTGGGTACTATTTACCTGTGCCAGTCCTTGAATATTTCTTTAATTTTATTTCAAAGTGAGCAAACACAAATGAATCTATTTTGGACATGTTTTCACCTACAACTAGAAACCCGAAGAACTCTTGAACATGAATTCCCCCGTGGCTCTGAACGCAACCCTTCACCTGTGCTGCTCAGTCACTCGTAGCCAGCAGCAGACTGTGTCATCACCTAAAACACCCAAATACCGGCTTTGTGCACACTTTTTAAATTTGGTTCCTGTTTTCATGCTGCTAACAGGTGTTTAACGAGTGATCAGCTGCCAGTTGAATAGTGGGAGAAAACAAGAAGGCAGTTAAAAGGTGACAAGTTAAAGAAACAGACTTGCCAACTTTTTCTGGTTAAAGGAATTTTCCTAAGGAAGCTGTGGCGTCAGGAAGAACAAGGAAAAACGAGTGATGTTATTTGCTTCTTTCTTTCTCTCTCGATTTATTTTTCAGTAAAGTATTTTGAGCAGAGAGAAATCCATCATCTGTCATCTATTACTAAGGAAAGTATGATTTTATTTAATATCAGGAAACAAAGCATATGGCATATATGGAATATAAGAATGTTCCACAAATTCAAATTTCCATATGGAAATGGATTTCAAGGAAAGAAAAACCCACACCTTATGCATCGACGTGATGGATTAAACACAAAACCCATCCGATGTGACATCTTTACCGTTTCCAGTGAAACGGGTCCCAACCTGAGGTGGACAGAGTGAGAACAGATTGTTCTGCTTGGGCGTGATTTGTGTTAAATTGGGTCTTTTGGTATTTATGCAGCACGGAGAACAACAACGGCACCATTTAAGGTCCTGAAAAGGCTTCCTCCAGCGTTCCAGCTGGCAAACACACAGCGCCATGAAACAGGATGTTAGAAATGTTAAGACAAATCATTTGGACGTATAAAATATTCTCCTTCCCCTGCAAATCATTAAAGCATGATGTTAAACATAGACGACTGTGAGTCACCAGGAGAAGTCACTGCATACAAAGTACTTTAGAAAGGTATCTATAGCCAGTCATGTAGAAATACTTATAGCAAAGAAGGAGGAGAAAATCTACTGACGGACTCCAGAGGAGAAGAAACAACAGGTTGGTGTTTGGCCCTAGGCCCTCCTGCTTGATAACAGAGGATGATAGACTGCTGCACAGACGCTTGTCTGCAGAAAGCTCTTCTTATCTTCTTATCTCTCCCTCATTCCTCTCCCCCTCTCCTATCCATCATCCTTTGAAGTAGTGCGCTGATACCCAGGCATTTCTTTTAAACGCTCTGACTTTGAGATGGCTTAAAACACACTTAGCTTATCTGTTCTACAATCATCTCTCATCAATATATTTTCATTCTTCCTCCAGCAGCAAACGCACTTGTTTGACAAGTCCTCACAGAACGTGTCGGCCTGGTAAACAACGTGGAAACGGACTAAAGTTTATGCTACCTCTGTACACGGAAAGGCAGTTCCAGATAATCTGCTCTTTTTAGAAAACTACAAGTAATCCATGAAAGCGTAGCTACGTGCAGCGTGGCACGAATGCAACCAAACAAAGCAGACACTGTATACAAAACTAGAACGAAATCATTCGTTTGTTGCAACTCTTTCAGGAGGGTGTTTAACTGTTTTATTGGCCCTTGAAGGACAAAAAAGCGACACAATTACTCTGAATCATCATTCGTTTACTTCTCATGCATTCAGCAAATAGGAAAGATTAATGTAGCCGCACTGTAACTAGACTGTGTGGGGGTTTGGTATAGAGAGAATGTGACCTTCATTTAGTTTTAAACACATCAGAAAACAACAATGAAAACTTCTCCCTAAGTATATCTCCCTGTTATACAGCCTGACTGTTTCAGAGAACCTGGGACCAAAGCCTCCCTTTGATCACAGCTATGCACCTTTGATAGTGATCTCTTTTCATTAAATGGAGTAAAAACGACTTTGTGAAACATTAAATGTCCTCGGTACGCTTGTAAACCAGTCTGAATAGAGATAAAATTAGTTTTGTAAAATACATTTAGCTGGCCTGCATCTGTAAGACATTTTTTCTTACACACACCGATACCTGTAAGACTTTTTATTGTCTCTTAGAAGAGACGGAGGCTAGCAGGTTCACGTGTGTTAATGTTAGTTCCACACTGCAACCAGATGGCATGAATGGAGCATTTCTGTAAAGGGCTATGTTTTTAATTGTCTTTTTCTTGTTTTAGGCTGGGGATGGAGAGAGAAAGTCTCAACACTATGAAGGTCTTTCTTAGTCCACTGATGCCCTTCCTGCTCCTCCTCCTCCTTCCTGATGGCATTTTCTCCAGCGATTGCCCAAAAGACTGCACCTGCAACCCTTCCACTTCCATCTTTTGTTACCAGAGAAACTCTCCTACCTTGCCTAGTGGATTGGACACATCTACGAGAAACCTCTACCTGTTTTCCAACGGGATTGAAGGCATCAAAAGTGAGGACTTTGATGGCCTAGTGAACCTGGAAATGCTGGACCTCAGTCAGAACAAACTGACACATCTTCCTGACAGGGTGTTTGAAACTTTGACTTCTTTGAAAAACTTGGACTTGTCATCCAACCAGATCACCCAGATTTCAGAGAAAAGCTTCCATGGTGTGACACAGCTTCAGCGCCTTTACCTACAGAGTAACAGCATCAAGGCCATCCATCCTGCAACCTTTACCGGCTTAGAGAACCTGCTGGAACTCAAACTGCAGGGTAATATGCTAACTTCCCTGCCTACCCTCTCAATGCCTCAACTACTGCTGCTGGACCTTCGCTTTAATACTTTTCCCCTTTTAGGCCCAACAGACCTCCAGACCCCAAACCTGGAAGCACTCCTATTGGCTGGAGTTGGGCTCACCGGTCTGAATATGGAGCTTATGCTAAGTCTAAAAAATCTTCATTATTTGGATATTTCAGGAAATGAGCTTAAGTCTTTCCCTGTGGCACTTAAAGAGACCCCAAGGCTGCTGCATCTTAACCTGGCTGGGAACCCAATGCGTACTCTAAAGCCCGAAGACCTCCAAAACCTTAATGAGCTGATCGAATTGGACATTAGCAGTCTCAGTCTGCACAGCCTTCCTGAAGAGTTACCCCAGCTCCTCCCCAACTTAAAAAAACTCACAGTTGCAGAAAATCCCTTCAACTGCCTTTGTAACTTAGCATGGTTGCCGGGATGGCTCAGTACACAAGGTATCACCCTGGTTAGGACAGAGGAGACACGCTGCCATTTTCCACCCATCAGTGCTGGAAAGGTGCTGCCAAGGCTGGAGCACAGAGACTTTGGATGTCCAACCACCACAACGATCACCACCAGCACTACCAAGATTACCACTACAACCCTGCCTGTTGCCATCACTACCATGCCAACTACCACTACAGCGATTCAAGTTCCCATTGATAGTGATGAACTCCCCCTTCCCCCTCTTCCTGCAACCCCCAGTAGTAGCAGCACCGACCCAGAGAAGGAACTGCCTTTCTGTCCCCCGGATAGCTGTCTAAACGGTGGTACTTGTCATCTGGATCAGCAAGGTTATATAACGTGTGCCTGTCCATATGACATCACTGGCTTGACTTGTGAAATTCAACCCAAATCTAAATCTTCACTACCTGAACCTGAATCATCCAGGGCAACTAGCATCGCAGACGCACCCGAACTCAGCTCCAGTCAAGCAACCCCAACTTCTATTCTGCTAGACCTTCACCTCTACATTGAAAAGCGGCCTTACATTCGTGGAATCCGTCTGACTTACAGCAACCTGTCAGGACCTGATCGCAGGCCAAATCAACTCAACCTGCCAGCATCCTTCCCAGAGTACAGACTAAGAGGTCTGAACCCTAACTCAACCTATTCCATATGTGCCAGTCCTTTAGGAGATTCTACTGGCTCCGAGAGCATCTGCATTGAGGCCCATACAAGCCCTCAGCATCCAGCAAGGAAGCCACAAGTTGACAGCCCAAGATTTACGATGCTGGTACCAGCAGCTGCTATTGTTCTAGCACTGGTACTGATAGCAGTAGTTGTGGGAGTAATTTGCTATCGTCGCAGGAAGAAGGCCAAGGGCAACTTGGACCTCGACTGTGAGCCCTCTCAACTAGAACAGGATGGAGTTAAAAGTGGCTTAGACAATGGGGCGTTGCCTCACAAACAGCTCCAGTTGGTGATGCCGGAACCTGCTGTCCAAAACGGCAGTCTGGAATACGAGGTGTTGCTACTATAAGATCACTGTACGTCCAATAACAATATGTCTTTGCACAAGCCTTTTAGCTTTTGACAGATGAATTTATTGACTCAGATCTAAAGGAGGAGTTTTAAATCTTCTGTTCTGTATCCCCATGTGGATGGAGTACAAAGACTCGCACTTACAAGTGGAGGATCGTGAGTCAACCAGCCAATCAGTAGAGGAGCAGCTGAACTTACATTTAAATCACTGCAATATGAGTGTCTACGAAGAGGAAAAGCATTCACTGGGACTTAAGAAGTGCTTGTGTACTTCAATATGAATTCCCCACTCACATTCATCTTTTATACTGTGATACTGGGACTGATGGGAATGCCGTTAAGACCCAAAAAGGACTAATGCTCACCTTTATGTGCACTGTGTGCGCTCTGAACTGCCTACCCCATCACAAAAGCCCAAGTCGACAGACCCAGCAGTTGTTTTTGCAGCAAGGTGCAACTATGGTGCAACTCCTCAGTACGTACCTGAAGGGATCAGAGTATGCTGTGAATTTCTTTTAAGACTCAAAATGAAGTTGTGCAGAGAATATAGCTGATATTTGTATAGCTTTCTTTTGATAAAACTGTTAAGTGTACATGTGCTTTTTTCTAAAATTCCTGTTTCTTTGTACTTTTTTTAACGGTGCAACTTTGTGAATGTTAAAGACCCTAAAACACCACCCACCCCACTTTTTGTGACTAACAGACAAAACAACAGATTAAAATCTTTGAAGATTAAAACTCATTTGGTACCAGTAAAGTCAGTCAAAGGGCTTTGGCCCTAGAAAATCAGACAGTCTAAGTAGATGTGAGTCTGGACTGAGCCAAATCAAAATCCTTCTTTATCACACCAAAGACCTCAACATGCTTTACCAACACAAAGGAAAAAGGGAAGCAGGATTACAACAAGGTACAGAGGGAAGCTATTGACTGAACCCCACATGATTTGGAGCACTTTTTAAAACCCATTTTAGAGTTTGATTCACTGTAAATACACACGGTGCTTAAAAATGATCTTATTTATTATTTTTTATCCCTCATCTACAACTCTAATACAGAACACTTCATGGCCTGGTTGAAAACAAGCAAAGCAACTAGTGGAAATGTATTCTGTTTCATTTGAGTAAAAATAGCCTATTCGACGACACACTATGCACAATTTCTTCTTGGCAACAAATACCCCAGTTTTTCTTGCTTGTACCTTGCCAGACTGTAGACAGGCCAGATGCACATCTTCATTTATATATATATATATATATATATATATATATATATAAGTTGCACACACAACTCACACACACACACACGCATGCATGCACCCACACACACACAGGCATGCATGCATGCACACACACAGGCATGCATGCACACACACACACAGGCATGCATGCATGCACACACACACACACACACACACACATATATATATATATATATATATATATATATATATATATATATATATATATATATATATATATATATATGATAAGAAAACTTGCAGAAGTCTACTGGAACATAATCATAAACAGAGGGGAGATAAAAATCTGTGCATTTGGCACAAAGAGGTTACAGTAGTGTGTGTGTGTGTGTGTGTGTGTGTGCACACGCATGCATGCGTGTGTGTGTGTGCATGCATGCATGCCTGTGTGTGTGTGTGCATGCATGCATGCATGTGTGTGTGTGGGTGCATGCATGCGTGTGTGTGTGTGTGAGTTGTGTGTGCACGCACATGTGTGTGTGTGCATGCATACATGCGCGCGTGTGTGTGTGTGTGTTTGTGTGTGTCAGTACACGTTCAGTCTTGTGCACAGTTCAGCAGATATCTGGTTCCTATCATTTACTCTGGTCGTATGTCCTCATGCCTCCTAGTATGTAAAGCCCAAACAACTCCACCTGCAGGCAAAAACACCAAAGATATATCTGCAATCACCTGTGAAGTTACGGTATTTCTAACACACACCAGTTCCAACTTAGTCCCTTTGAAACAAGAGATGAAACTGGAATATTTGTCTGTAAACAGAAACAAAAACTGAGGATAACCAAAAGTATTTTCAGTGTGACTTTATTTTTCCCTGTTTATTCTGGGAAACTGTTGTAAATTTGTACTTTTCTATTATGTGAACTAATTTGTATAAATGGAGTCAGTAATATTAACATTAAAGGAATATCCAAGAACATTTTTGTTGTGTTTAACATTCAAACAGCATCCTCTAATGTGTGATTATCCAATAAAGAAGCAGCACCAAGAACAAATATCTGACTACCAGAGCCTTACATCGCTCTCGTTACCTGGAAGAAGTCAATGCAAATGCAGACAAGCCTGGGCACGGTAACTAATCAAACAAATCTAGTAAATTACACACAAACAATCCAGTCGTAAAACATTTGTAACCTCATTCTTAGAGGACAGAATCAGCCCAGTCCTACACTCCAGAGCTGCCCTGACTTGCCTACAATGTCAGGGACGAAACTGCAAGCAAACAATCAATCACTGAGTGAACAACTTCCAGCTTTCTGTATGCAAATCCACCTACCGCTTTAGCCAAGGAAGAGGAACAGATGCAATATCAGTATCAGGTAGAGGCCGGATAACCAAGCCGTGCCAGCTTCAAAAAACCGGCTGCAGAGCAGAAGCTGCTGCTCTGATCAGAACAAAATCCATTTGTTTAAACAAACTTAACACACACCTGACAGGGAAAATGCAGAGTGTGTGTTCACGACCAAGCAAGGAGCCAAGACCAACACACCTACATGGCACATTTACTACCGCTGTGCTGAAACCTACCTGATGTTGGAGGTACTTATTTTATTAAAGTCATTTATTTAGTATATTTAGTGGCAAAAATGTCCATTTCTCAAAAATGAGAAAACATTTATTCATTTCAGTAATGACACATGAAACATATAATTGTGTGAACAGTAGAAAAAATCAGGTCATATTCAGTAAAACGTGTTAGGAAAGTATTGATGGTTGTGTTTGAAGTGAGATCAGGAGCGGATCTTAATAAAAAGGTGAATCATCACCGATCCTGACAAATAAAGACAGTTAAACAGAGCACCAACCTCCTAAATGATTAGCCTCAGCTGGGCTATACCACCTAGGCACTATTTGTAAGCAGTGTGTGTGTGTGTGTGTGTGTGTGTGTGTGTGTGTGTGTGTGTGTGTGTGTGTGTGTGTGTGTGTGTGCGGCCTGTCAGTGGACGGGAGCACTTGGACTTATTCCTCACCAGCAGCAGCAAGCTGGGCAAAAATGGAAATTAAATGTATAATTGAAAACACTCACATGAAGGTAGCACGTGAGTTTAACTGAAAGGCTTTCTGCTCAGAGTCAAACATGTGACCATTATTAGCAAAGTCACACAATAAACAGGATGACAACCTGTGTGTTTTACAGGTAGGAAGCTGGTAGGACACACACACACACACACACACACACACACACACACACACACACACACACACACACACACACACAAGCCCGTAGCTTGGAGCTGTTGTGTAATTTTCCATCCTAACAACAGAAACTCATTAAAGAGTCCCCCTCTGCTCACAACAGGAGTTTTACTTAAATGTTCTCTTTTTGCCAAAAACAGATTGCTTTCATTCTTTTCTTTGTCATTTTGTAAGTTATTTAAAATTTGTTTCTAAAAATTTTTATCATAAAGATAAATATTTACCAAACTACCATTACTTTATGGCCATCTAATACTGAGTGGATGCACATGAGCTGCTAAAATAGCTCTACGATGAAACCACCAACGGGTGAACTGGGAAGTCCGGGATCACAATTCAATCCATTTTAAAGTTTGGGTTTTCTATGGATCCTTCCCATGAGACCAGATCCCATCTAGTCTAGAAGTCTGGAGGCTCAAATGCTGATTTTTACATTTATTTGAACAAACAGAGAAATATTTACCCTTAGTGCCACAATCATAATGTTTCAGGTAATTTGTTCTTTTCCAGTAAATAAAATAAAACAGCCAGTCAGAATGCTTTCAGGTGATAAAGTCCATTCATGCTTCTGTAAATGTATTTGAACCCTTGAGCTGGAACAAAGTTTTTGTGTGTCCTCTTGTGTTTTCTCTGCCTTCCTTCCACAGAATAATTATTCGTCTTTCCACAAGCTTTAAGCGAAATCTGGCCCCCGGGAATCACCCTCTAAACTCACATTAAGCCTGCGCTGCTCAATGCTTCCTTTTGTAGTCCTACGTGACTTTTTTCACAACTATCAGCAATACAAAATCCACATGGGATTGCTTGGTATGCACTTTCCTCCCATTTATTATTTCTAAATTTGTCTGAAGATGAAAGTAGAGGTAAGTACGGTCAAAGCTCGGGCCACTTCAGCTGCAGCTCAGCCTGTCAGCCAAAAGATTTTTGCAGCCTCTTTTCTCTACTTTCTGATTCTTCAAACAGCCCTTGCAGGAGCAGCTGACCCTTCTGTAACCTCCAACCATCTCTGTGGAAAAGATTATTTATAATCAGCACTCTGGGACAAGAAACGTCTTCACTAAATCCCAATATGAAGGCACACATGTCATTATGAAGAACAAACAATGGAGCATTAAAGAAAACCACATGGGATCAGATGTGAAAACATAAATGTGTGAAAAACATGAGGCCACATGTGTTTTCCCATGTGAATTTGGAACATTTTCATTATAATAAAGTGTGAAACCGATGGAAGTTCACATGTGCAGCCCTTGGGGATCACACGCGAAGCATGTTGTGAAGAACATGTTGAAGAAATGTGATTTTTCTCTAATCTCCATGACATCAGTAGACACACGGCCATTAGCGAAGCTAAAGCTGTAAAGGCTTTCAGTTTGATTAGAATGTCTCAGAAAACCAAAAAACAGCCTGAGGAGGAAGACTTTCATTATCGTGGGGCTTTATTTACTGTTCTGATCTTGTTCTGTGATTGAACAAAAAGACAATGGCAAATAGTAAAAGAGCAGATAGAAGAGAAGAGAAGAGAAGAGAAGAGAAGAGAAGAGAAGAGAAGAGGAGGAAGAGAAGAGAAGAGAAGAGAAGAGAAGAGAAGAGAAGAGAAGAGGAGGAAGAGAAGAGAAGAGAAGAGAAGAGGAGGAAGAGAAGAGGAGAGAAGAGGAGAGAAGAGAAGAGAAGAGAAGAGAAGAGAAGAGGAGGAAGAGAAGAGAAGAGAAGAGGAGGAAGAGAAGAGAAGAGAAGAGGAGGAAGAGAAGAGAAGAGAAGAGAAGAGAAGAGAAGAGAAGAGAAGAGAAGAGAAGAGAAGAGAAAGAAAAACACCAACACTGTTTTTGGAACCAGATTCCCTGGCTCCAGCTGTTGGTTTTCTGCTTGTTTCCCTGAAAGCTCCCAGTTAAACTCTCCTGCCACACATTCCACCTTCCCTGTGTCTGAATCTTTCTGGAGAACCAATAATGGATGATGGGTGGTGTGCCACCGGTTCCTCATGCCGTGACAGCTGCCAGTCGGTACCTGCAGATGAACCAGACGCTGCTCTAGCAAAAGGCAGCGAGAGTGGAAAGACAAGAAGTCAGAAAGAAAAACAGGAAAGGAGAGCAGAAGAAGAATGTGACTGGTTGGTTTCTGGCATCACGCACTGGCAGGCACACATGCTGCTCATTTCACATGTCATTGGGAATATTATTAAACATAAAGTGAAATGAACTGCAGACATCCCGTTACACGTGAAGGTTTTAATATGAGCTCTTCCTTCTCAATGCAACACAGACAGACCTGAACACCACGTGTGATTAAAACGGAGGTAAATGATGGCCATTGGTTTGTGTCAGCATGGGTCTGAGGGTAGCTGGAAACACTGGCCCTCCTTTACAGTTTAGAGTCCCACATGCATCTTTGATTTGTTTGCTGAGATTCTGGATCTGCTGGGTCACTGTTTAGACCAATGCTTTATTTTCATTCTTTTTCCACAATATCAACAACACTCGTTACTCTTTTTCTACCAAAAGTGTCTTTATAACTTAAAACCCATGGCTATGTGGTATATTCCAATGTCCTATTTGGTGTCATGGCTGCCCTGACTTAAGATATAAAATAGCACTCTGTGGCAAGCTAGAACTCTGAACATCTCAAACAAAGCTGTTTTTCGTCAGCTGTTTCTCCCTTTAACACCAGTTGTTAAAGCCTGATTGCTAACATTTGCACTGACACATGGTAGCAAATGAAAACAAAATCCAGTTCAATGTTCTCTGGGTGGGTTGGATGATTGCACATATTTTTAAGATTTGGCACATTGATCTCAGGTGCTACCCAC